AAGGGACACGGGTGGCGCTGTGGTCTAAACCACTGAGCCTCTTGGGCTTGCTGATCGGAAGGTTGGTGGTTTGAATCCCCATGACAGGGTGAGCTCCCGTTGCTCTGTCCCAGCTCCTGCCAACCTGGCAGTTCGAAAGCACACCAGGGCAAGTAGATAAATAGGTACTGCTGTGGTGGGAAGGTAAACAGCGTTTCCATGCGCTCTGGTTTTCGTCACAGTGTTCCGTTGTGCCAGAAGCCATTTAGTCATGCTGGCCACATGACCTGGAAAGCTGTCTGTGGACAAATGCCAGCTCCCACATCCTGAAAGCGAGATGAGCGTTGCAACCCTACAGTCGCCTTTGACTGGACTTTGGTGGATTCCAAGCCTATATGACTGTTGGGGAAACACGAAAGCATTGGAACACATAGCCAGGATGCTGGTGCAATTCTACCTGTGGAAGAGCCCCCAAAAGAGCAGCATTGGGGGACAATGCATTATTTGCCATTTTGCAGTAGAATGATGGTGCTGATGTAAATCTGAAGGTATTTGCTGTTTTCATTAGAACAGCTCAGGTTTATTTTCTCTCTCTCTTTTATTATCCTAGCGTAGTGGTTATGTGACAAGCTTCATCAGACTGCCTGTTCAAATCAATAAAAAGGCAGTCAAAGAAATGTTAAAAAATAAAGGCTGCCAAGAGCAGGCAGTTGCCAATGAGAACATTGTTGTGCAGCTTACAAATTCCCTTTTTGGTGCGGGATTGTGCGCATGTGCTATTTAGAAGGGGAAAGGATAAGAGAAGGAAGTCCGGGGCCAGTAAGAAACAGCACATCTTTCAAAAATGTAATAAGAGCCCAAGTTGGCTCAGAAAGTGTCATGGCCCCTGACACTTCTACATCAGCAGAGGAATTTAGGGACACTGATGAGGGAGGCAAAACTATCTCCTCATGCCCTCAAGTACATGTTGTGTTTACGAAAAGTTATGCTTCCGTAAATGACCAGACTTCAAAATGCCACAGGACTCCACATCATACAGTTAAGGACCAAACTAGCTGTGACTTTCATTTGTGTGAAGTTTGGTAATTGTATTGGATGGAGGCATTGTTGCCCATGGTTTGAATACCAGTATTTAATTTCTACTGTCCCATTACATTCTGTGGCGGTTTTTGCCAGCCCTATGCCTCCAAGATAATTCTCACGGCCGGAGAGGTTGCGCGCGGCTATGGCAGAAGCCAAGACAGCCAGCGGGATGCATCCTGCTTGCTGTCCTGGCTTCCTCTTTACCGCGCGCAACCTCTCCCGGGCAAGGGGAGCCTTCATCCCACTGCCTGGGAGAGGCTGCGCATGGCTAAGGCTCCCCCAAGAGCTGCACTCCCTTTAAAGAGCGTGTGTAGTGTGTGTGCAGCTCTTGGGGGCTTTTCCCGAGGAGGGAGAAGGGCAGCCCTTCTCCCTCCTCTGGAAAAGCCCCCAAGAGCCGCACACACGCTTCACACGGCTCTTTAAAGGGAGCGCTAACAGAGCCTCCTGCCTGCATTTGCTGTATAAGACGCACACACATTTCCCCTTACTTTTTAGGAGGGGAAAAGTGCGTCTTATAGAGTGAAAAATATGGTATGCACATGATAGGCAACAGCTGCCCCATAGCATCACCTTCAATCCTCGGGCAGTGGCGGAGGGACTTACCGTACTTTTCCGTGTACAAGACTAGGTTTTTTTCTTTTAAAATTATGCTAAAAAGTGTGTGTCATCTTATACAGGGATAGTGCATAGGGGGGGCATTTGATTGGTTGCTGCCATGGCTGTCAGAGGCTATTGGGCGCGTTATTGGTCACTGCGTGAATGGCTGGTGTTGATTGGGTGACGCTGTGGCAATTGGGCAGGCGATTGGCAGCTTCTGCTGGCGAGGGGACAGATGAGAAGCGGATATTTGGATGCATGCTCAACAACTCTGTGCCAGCTCCCCCCCATTTTCTTAAATTTGAGTCCCCCCAAAAGGGGGCGTCTTATACATGGGGGCGTCTTATAGACGGAAAAGTACGGTATTTTTGTTTGTTTGTAGCCATAATTATCCTTGTACAAAGTCACATTTGATTAATAGGGCGAATATAGCAATTCAGAGTAAGTGTCATAAAAGAGTGCAATTTATTAAATGCTGCTGGCAGGGTTGGCCCAAGACACTTTGGCACCTGAGGCAAACCACAAAATGGCGCGCCACCTCTCCACCAGGAAAGAAGGGGTAAGTGGAGATCTACATCAAGAACCGCAGTGGGGTGGGATGGGATAAAGATCTATATCAGGATCTGCTGCCCCGTGGATCTTGCCACCTGAGGAGGCCACGTCACCTTGCCTCATGAGTGGGCCGGCTCTGGCTGCTTGGTTTCACAAAGGGTTATTTAATGACCGACCTTAATATCTTTCTGTTTCCAAATGCCTTTTTCCCCCAAGGCAACTTCTCTGTACCACAGTTGGTTTTCTTTAATGCTGCAATGTTAACATTCTAATGGTCTTGCTTTGTTCTGCCTTCTTTCTTTCCAAAAATCGGGGAATAATATGCTTTAAAACAAACAGCTTGTAGTTACTTCAAATGCCTTTTCAAATTACCCATAGAAATTTCAGATTAGATTGCGAATTAACGAGCCAGAAATAACTACCCTGGAGGCTGTACCAAACACTAATAAAAGCATGTGTAACGCTTTCTATCCCAGGTTTTAAAAGGCATGTTACAAACATTAATTAGTTATTATCTCATCCGTGACTTTGTACACCCACAAAGCAGAACAAAAGAAAATAAAATTATAAATATGGAAAGGAAGAAGATAATGCATGAAAGGAGACTTAAAATGGCCTTGTTTCTTACTGCTGTGTTCGTACAGTCACATCACAAGATATACAGCAGGTAGGAAGAAGTCTTCTGACAGCTTTAATATATATCTAAAAGCATGCTGATATTGTTCAGCACTGAACAAAACACATTTTCTCAGTGGTACCTGCACAGTAGTAAAAAAGCATAGCTCTGATCTTGTTGCCATCAATAGAGCTTACAGGTAAAAGTGTGCGTTGAACACCACTAATTGGAGTTCTCCCAAGAGGGGCCTTCTATATTCAGACAAACCTCCTACATTCTCCTCTCTGTTGAAATATAATTTGAACATCACAAAGTAACGGGGGGCTCCTGTACCTGGCTATTGTGATAACAGCAGTTTGTTCCAGTGTCAGGAATTGCAGTGCATGCTTACAGTTCCCCTGCCCTCAATAACTTTCCCATTCATTTCAGTGGAACAGCTGTGCAGATGAAACCGGCACCATGTAAGGAAATTAGTGTGAGATAACCAGCCTCATTTAGGCAACATGCTGAAGTCGAATAAATGCATGAAGGGGTTAATACCATAGACTAAGTTGTCCTGCTGGGCTGAGCTATGTCACTTCCCTTACCTTGGGAGGAAATAGGTAGTCAAGCCTATTGTTGTACCCAGTCTACCTGAGCAGCTCAGCATGTGAGGAGGTTTGAGCTGGTTGATCCAGCTCAACCGCATGGCTCTCACCAGCCACTCATGAGTTCCTATACCAATAATCTAGGAACTTCTACTACTTTGTAACTAAGCTTCATTTCACTCTAAGGGTTGTTGGCAGGCCTGATGGAGCTTTCTCAGGCTGTCCACAACAATGTCCCTTCAGCACTGCTCAGTGCCCAAATCCAGGATGCATGTTATGTTAGCAAAAGGCTCTTTTCCACAATAAATATTCTGAGATATTTTGCCATTCTCTCTCTCTCTCTGACACCTACCTTCAAGGAAAAAACAATTGGACTAGCCCTGAGACTTCAACTTTGTCCTTTTAAATCCCATTAGCTTTTTTTAAATTAAAGACTACACAGAAATGCATGCAGCAGAGGAGAGGTGCGCTTGAGTTTCAAAAAAACAGGTGTCAGCAGACAAAACCAGATGTCTGATAAAACATTTAAGAAGAGGTATTTTTAGTGGAGTTTCTATTTATGTGAAAATGATGGCTTGTAGATTATGCTTTGAAGACAAAAAGAGGATGCCAGAGGAATAATTTGCTCTCGTTTAAAAGATGACGGCAAATTAAGGGAAAGTATCACCAGTTTGTCCTCCCTTTCTCACTCAAGCAATCATGCAATCACTTCAAAGCAGCTGGGTTCTCCAAAGCTACTGCTGTTTTCAAGAGGGGTTCGATCTCATACCAGGTTTCTCAACAAACCTGGTTCCCCAAAAGAACACTTTTTTTGCGATAAAGTGAAGGGAGAATGCACTGGAAAGTGTGGGATAATGCTTGCTTTGATACAGCAGCATCTAACCTCCCTGAAAACAAATAAGAACGAATGCACAATTAACATGTCATCTGGATGTGCCCCTAGAGCTCTAACCTACTGAAAAGCCAAGAGGCCACTGTAACAGATTGTATTTTATAATTTGCATTTATCCTCTGCGTTTCTTCCATGGAGCTGAAAGTGGAGCGCACAGGGCTCCCAGGCCATCGCTCACCTAAGCACTGATCAGACACAGACCTATGGCATCAGCAAGATCATTGTGTTTTACGTGGCTTCAGACCTTGGCCTGAAGGAACACAGCATACATTACAAAATATTACCTGGAGTCCATATCAGAAATTATAGTTAGGTATAAGAGCATCAGCTTCTGAAAAATACTGTACATAGAGTATTTCATTTAAAATGAACTTGTCTCTGTATCCAAATTTGCCAGCACAGTATGTTGGTGTGAGCACCAAGCAAGCCATAACCCAATGGCAAATAGTTGCTCCTTTGGTTAGATAACTTTTCAATCAATTGGTTTTTATTATATGTATATAATACGCATACACAGGTTTTTCTCTCTCATAACAGTACTGTTTCCTTACTGGTTGGCATGTGATATGGATTAAAGCTTTCTGGACAAATGTATTTAAGGAACTAAGCCTAATAACATCACTAGACATACAAAGTACTCCTCGGCTTGCTTTATTAATAATCTTCCTCAGAGAACAAAAGAATCTTCCTCACAAGGAGCTGATAACTCTTCTTTTGGTTTCAGAATGGCAATTAATAGCTTGGCACTAGAAAACCACAGACAATTTGCCGGCGCATAACTGGAGGCAAAAAGTATGGACAGTTGCTCTAATGGAGAAACTTTCGAAACAAGTAACAGCATTGAAAACTAGATTTCAATATTAGTTTGATCAAGATTAGTGATAGTATGATATACATTCTGTATACAGTGATTTTAAAAAATATACACTGCATACCATTTAAGAACAGGAGGGACTTTGCAATAGGCTCACCATATAAAAAAGACACATTAGAGGAGTGTAACAGCATAAGCAGATTCTCTGGTACTCTACTGAAATAAGAAATGGCGCCCCTGGATTTATTCAGTTTTTTCTTCTTCTCTCCTTCAATGTGTTTTAAATCTGGGTGCCTTGGGCTTTCTATACATTATTAGATGTGATACCCCCACTGCTGAATAATGATTTTCAATGCATTCTAATCAAATGATACTAAAGCAACACAGTCAACTAGACTAAAGAATACAAATGAATATAATTTCTCTTGCACCATTATAATGCAACGATTTATCCCTTACTCTCACTGCGTAAGTCATTTTGCATCCTTCATTTTGAACAGCTGTTAGTTTAAAAAGTAGACACTACACATTGTATATAAGAAAATAGATAGGGCAAATGCATTTCAAATGCTTACTTGAGATACAGCAGCTTAATATTCAAATATGGCTTATCTAACTAAATGCTCACGAGAAGGGAAAAGTACCCCCAGGACAGCTTAGATAAACTTGGGTGCCAGCCGCAGTTCCTCTGAAACCTCCTGCTTTCCATTTACAAGTCTAAAGAGCTGGCAATCTTATCTTCTGAAACGGTAATTACTTGGGAAGGCTGGGCTTGAGGGAAGCAGCCCAACAGAACTGTAAGGATTGGCTGTTTAGTAAAGCCGTGTGTGTGTGGGTGGGTGGGTGGCTGCTAATAATTTTCACAAGTAAAGAAAAGGCCTGGTTCATTTGGAAAAGTATCATTCCCCAGCTAGCATAAGGATTACCTGCTTCTGATGACAATGGCTGGGGGGGATGATCTATTGATGAAAATGGTTACAGTTCGGTCCTAAAAATTTCTGCTCTAAACTTTAAATTTAGGGCAGGATTCACCCAACAGCCCTGTCAGTACAAGCCTTGTGTGAGGTCTTCTGCTTGCTCAACGGGGATTTCCCTCTCTCCTGCTCCACCCATAGCATTCTCCAAAGCTCTCCAAACAGCACACAGGAAGAAGAAAAGGAGAAGTGTTCCGTCTGACAAACCGCAGTGTTGGTGCTGATGGGACGTTCACCATAGTAAGCAAAACCTGGGGCTGGCTTAAGGAATTTTGCTGCCAGAAGCAAAGTTTGCCCCCTTGCCAAGTCAAGATGGACTAGCCAAGTTATTCCAGCACCTGAGACAGAAAATGCCACAAGATCTGCTCTCTTTTCCTGGCAGTTAAACATACAATAGTAATGAATTAAGCAAGTAATAATTTGCCCTTTCATGACACCCAAGTTCAGCTCCCTGAGGCGGACATCTCGCTTTGCCTAACGTTAGGACCGGCCTTCTACTGAATTCAGAGTCTGTAAGTCTGCATAAGATTGTAGTCTTCATGGGAGCAGGCTGTAAGTCAAGTAAAGCAGACTGGTGTTTTCATTTGGTTTTCTGAAAACTATAGGTCACGATAAAACAACACAATTTAAAGAGTATTAAAGCTTGCTTTAACAAATGCCCCTCAACAGTATCTGGGGTGTTCTCACCCAAGTAAATATATTATCACAGTTCAAGCACCTCAGAGCGCCTAGAAATATAATTTAAAGGCAAAATACAATAAAATGACATGACAAGAAAAGAGAGATATGATTTAGTTTATGTAAGGAAAGTAATCCCTCAACGTCTGTTTATTTGCATACCACTTTCCCACAAAATTGTGCTCAAAGTGACTCACAATGTATACAAGTGAACAATAACAAATCCAAACAACAAAAGAGGCTCATCCTAACACTTGCTATCTATGGGAGCAAATATCTGCAGTTCTGTCAGCATGAGAGCAGGCGTGGTTTATAAGAATCACCTATGTGTACCATTTTTATTCTTTGACACGCACTGTTATCAGTCATAGAGATCTTGCACTACATGACTGGCTGTTGTGCTAATCAGACAACATCTAAATTGCAGCATTAAAAAAAGCCTGATAGGCTGATTTGAAAGAAAATGCATTTATCTGGAACTATTCTCCGGCAAGGAAAGCGTAACAATATGATTGAAGCAATACCTCCAAGAGGGGAAAGTGAGTGGATTCCGATTTCATTATTATTTTGCTCTCTTTTCTGTGAGGCTGAGTGTATAAAAGAAGGAATGCTTTGAAGAGGAACTGCACAACACAACTTCATTCTTTATCTGGTTCACTTCAAAAGGTGCATTTTTTCCATTTCTGAAAACTCAGGCCCCTATATGTGAATTTTAATCATTTGATAAAGTTGAAAATTTCACTTTCCTAGAAACCTGATTCCTGCCTTCCAGTGAAAGCTTGCAAATCCCTGCCTTTAGGGCAAGTGAAGGCAGTCATGTAATTCACAAAGTTTATTCCCTAATATTTTCTATTTGCGTGCCCAGCCACAGAGTCCCCCCTCCGGGCACGCCTAACTGCTGAGTGGTAAAATGAATGGACACAACAATTGGGCAATTGGGCCTAAACTGTGATTGATGAAGGGAAACTCACGAATTATTAGTGAAGTTCTAGGGTTGGTGCCTTAGAACGACCAATTCAAAACAAAGTGAATAAGGCCGAAATCTCGTTTCAGATTTAAATCTAGGGTGCCAACATTTGTTTTGGCCTCAGGGCAGCTGCAGCTGCAATACGAGGTTCTCCCTCAAATCAGCCACCAATCAGAAATAGCAGCTTAACTTTTTCTTCCTGAAATGATAGAAGCAGAGATATAGATCTCCTAAGGATTCAAGTGAGATGGCAAAAACTAAATTAATTACAGTTTTCAATTAAAACGAGATCCTGGGCCACGATAAATATTCAGCGGCTATGCTTTCAACTAAACATTTTCATCAGACTTCTCTCTTGTGAAATGATACACATTCTGTACACCAGCAGTGCTGCTCTGATTTTTCTTACTCTTACCTTAAAAAATAAAAGAAAAAAGCTGAAGGATGTATAATCAAGACAGTGAGACTGGCAAGCAAGAATATCACAGAGGAGTGCATTAAGAAACTAGGAATAACAACATCATTGTGGACATGTCAATGCTGCTAACCAGCATATTTTCAGGGACCACAGCTGCTTGCTAAGTGCAAATGGTGCAGAGTTGACAAGGAGCAGAGTATGAACCCTTCTTGTTTCTCAAATTTTAAGTGCGCTAATGGCAGTATCAGTGACGGTGTAACATAGCAGTAGGAATATCTCTTAACCTGATAGACCAAGGACATATTTGAATGCAATATAATGATGGTACTAAATATAATATTATACATATGATTATATTTGGATGGCAATATGTCGGACTTGCGTTCGACCAAGCTACTCCTCCGGTCGAGTCCTCTGACGAGATTAACGACCTGAGCCTTTGATGAGGCTCCAGGCACGTTCCCTCATTACGCAGAGTATACAGCAGCAGGGAAGGGCGAGAAATATGAGCTACATGCTAAGAGTTTTATTTCTAACTACGCAGACAGAAATAAAACATACATCCTCTCTCTGTGAAAGCAGAGAGGCAACTTGAACAAAGGAACAGGAAACCAGTAATATCAACATCCGTCTCCCGCGAGACTTCCAACAGTCCGGAAACTCTGGAATGTAAACAGAATCTTGAGACTCCAAGCACTGCACAGTGGCAATAAACAGAAACCTATAATCAGTATAGGTATCAGTATAATCAGTATAATCAGAGGCAGTCTGCTTACAGAACAGCATGTGCTGCAGAACAGAGGGTGAGGGACATTACACTGATGTCTGCTTGTGGGTTGCCCAAGAGGCATTTGGGTGGACCACTGTGAGAACAGAATGCTGGGCTGGATGAGCTTTTCCTCTGATCCAGCAGGGCTCTTCTTATGTCCATATACAGTGTACAGAGGCGGTTTCGGGGAGCGCAACCGGTTCGGCCGTACTGGGCATCGCGTTGCAGGGAGCAGCACAACAATGCAGCACGATGCAGTGCGAGAGGTGTGATATTGCCAAATGTTAGCAACAGCACAGGGCACCGCTGGAATTTGAGAGCCCAAAGTCCACCACTGCAGGGTGTGGGTGAAAAGGTGGGGAGGGGAGAATATAAACTGCATAAATGCATATTTGCACCAGGTACTGATTTCCCCATAATTGCTGCTTATTTAGAATGTTTTATTGCAGAGTGACCTATAATAAAACACTGTAAGTAAAAGATACAGGGTGGTACTCAACTATGTTTGACCCAGAACAGACACACTGAAATTAATAAATACGACTAGGCAATGCCCATTACTTTCAATGAGTATGAGTAACACTTAGTTCATGGGTAGGCAAACTAAGGCCAGGGTGCCGGATCCAGCCCAATTGCCTTCTCAATCTGGCCCGCAGATGGTCCGGGAATCAGCGTGTTTTTACTTGAGTAGAATGTGTCCTTTTATTTAAAATGCATCTCTGGGTTATTTGTGGGGCATAGGAATTCATTCATTATTTTTTTCAAAATATAGTCCGCCCCCCCCGCAAGATCTGAGGGACAGTGGACCGGCCCCCTGCTGAAAAAGTTTGCTGACCCCTAATTAGTTGAATACTACCCGAAATATTTGTAGGCCACCTTGCAACAAAGTTCTCGGGGTAGATATCCACAAAGCAGCATGAGAATCTGGCTTTTACGGTGGTTTGGGTATGAGCGGTGCCTATTGCAAATCTGGGAGTGTGCCCCACAACCATTGGAAAGGTTCCTGCAAAGGATTCTGGGGGCTCCGTTTAAGTTTGCATGCTAGCAGCGCCCTAATACCATTTTATGGGATTTGAATATTTCAGATGATTAGGCTCAGTGATGCAACGGCTTCCTTCTAATGGTAGTACTGTATGTAGTATACAGCTGGAAAACATTATTTGGTTTGCCTCTTCATACTGAGAACAGAATCCGTTTAACAGAGGGAGAAAATTACTTTTTGATTTATGCAATATATGAAAGAGGGCTTGGGAGCACTGGAGTTGTTTTTCTCTCTCTCCCAGAGATTGCTCTCAGGTAAGTCATTTAAATTCTGTGTGTCCTTTTCACCTTTATAAATAATTTTCTGTTTTCCATGTCTGTCGCCTGTTTCAAAAATAATCCTCTCTGGCCCCTTAAGCTATTTATTCCTAATTTACTTTAAAGACTGCAATCCTACATTGTACACTGACATTCATCCAGAAAACATTTTTAATCTAATTCAAAATGTATGAATTGATTTGGAAAACCAATCTTAAACGAAAAATGTACATGGGATAATTACTTTGGTACAAAGTACATTTAGGATTTTCTCAAAAATTATTACCTATTGGGGTTTTTTTAATGCAGAACAATGCCAGCTGTTAATACCTGTCCACCTGATCACAGACGTTGCTTTAATTAATCTGAATTCTTCCCCCCAAAGTGTAGCGCATTTGGTGTTTGGACAATATCCTCAAGGTAGCGGGCTAAAAATATGATGGTGTTACCTAGAGTATGTCTTTTAATCATACTGAACAAATAAGTTTAATCATCTGTTTGCTTTTGTTCCTGACTGTTAATATGAGAGAAATCATCTGCGTAACAGGCATTAACATGCCTGCAGATAAGTCTCCACTCAGATGCTAGACACTTCTTAAAATAATGGTTCTAAAACCAGCCCATGAGCAAAACAAGGTGTCTTCGTCACCGTGCCCTAATTTTCCTCTCACTCTATCCTTTTCTCATAAGCATGTAACACGAGCAAGTCTTGAATTGCTGCATATACACAAAATGTGTGCAGAAACTTAACATGCAGCTTTTTGTAGCATGGGGATGCAAGGGTGGGGAGCCACACTTAGTTCACTTCTACCCGACATGAGATTAGGAAGCCATCTATTCCAAGTCACATCAATGTTAGTCACATTGACTGGTACTGACCAGGATCTCAGACAGGGATCTCTACCAGCCCCACCAGGAAATCCTAGGAATTGAACCCAAGATTGTCTTCCTACCAAGCATGTCCTCTACCACTGAGCTACGGCCCTTCCTTTTTCTTAAAGGAACAGGTTTTCTGTCTATTAAAAGCAGCAAACCTAGAATCCATGGGCCAAAAATGTCTTAAGTGTTATTCCACTCAATGGTACCTCTTACTGGCATTACTCCCAGACTGCATTCTCTCTTCGGCTATTCGTCCTTTTCTTTGGCCATAGCTGGGCTGCTTTACTCATTTTTAAGTTCTTCCAGCCCATTCCCCACCCCACCCCCTCCCACTTTACGCCAGGGCCAAATTGGTTTTAAAGACCTACGATAAATATTCAAATGTAATCTTACACTTTCCAATGACAAGATCATCCTAGGAAAAAAACGTGAATGTAAACACTTTTGGATGGAAGCATAGGTTTTATTTGTGCAGCCAAGAGGAGGAGAATGGAAATTTTTGCTTCTATTTTCAGCTAACTGGGGAATCTCATTAGGTATGTACTAGAACAAATGGTGATTAGCGTTAACAATAGATTATTGAAAAGACCCAGCTTCAGTGGGATTGTGGCTTGTTTCAGTAAACCATGGTTAATACGAACTGGTTCATTGGTTCTGGTTCATTCATAATGAGAAACTGCAACTAGCTGAAAATGGAGGCAGAATATCCTAGTCTCCTCCTGGTGACTACGCTAAGAGGAGAAGGAAAGGTGAATTTATATGCCTGAGGCATGTACGTGTAGCCCTTAACTGTGGCTTAATAATATGAAAGAACCAGGCCATAAGATTGGCTCCTAAGATGATGTAAGTGGAACTCTACCTCCTGGTGGAAGACGGAGGAAGCAATTTTTACTTACATCTCCTTACACCCTCCCAATCTGCTTCAGAACATTGGGGGAATATCCAGAAATGGCTGGGTGGTGACACAGAGGCTGTCGTGGGCAAAAAGAATAATCAACATCACTTCCACATCTTCCAATGGGAACCATTGCTGGAACAAGGCCATTCTGTGGAATTGAAGGAGCTTGTTTGCAGAAAGGTAACTCTGGATGCAAGGCACGGTTACTGAGGAAGTTGAAGTTTCCCTTCCCATGTTACATATACACATTTCCTTTGCCGCACTGTTGTACAAGCTTATGAAATTCCACAACTACCTGCAAATCCTCTTTGGCCATAGGCAACAGCACAATGAAGGTACACACTAAGAGCAGTGGTCCCTCTTTCAAGCTACTGTCAAGACCGGGGGGTGGGGTGATGGGGAAGGACCCTGCTGTTTGCCCTCAGTAAGGAAAATGAAATTATTTTACTGGTGCCAGGTGGTAAACATCCAAGTACAGTGGTACCTCGGGTTAAGTACTTAATTCGTTCCGGAGGTCCGTTCTTAATCTGAAACTGTTCTTAACCTGAAGCACCACTTTAGCTAATGGGGCCTCCTGCTGCCGCCGCGCCGCTGCTGTGCGATTTCTGTTCTCATCCTGAAGCAAAGTTCTTAACCTGAAGCACTATTTCTGGGTTAGTGGAGTCTGTAACCTGAAGCGTATGTAACCTGAAGTGTATGTTACCTGAGGTACCACTGTACGTTAACAGTTCTAAGTTCAGGTGTTTTTATTTTTGTAAAAAACCCATTTAAACAACATTGCGAAAGCAGCCCCTTTCTTTTTTGGCTACCCTCACAGCTCCCAGTTTGGATTTCCATTGGCCCCATCAAGCAGGGGAAGACAAGTTCTGTTCCAAACAGTTGCCATGAAACCATTGCTCCAAACTGTAAGCCAAAAAAAGGGAGAGCGTTTGTATGTGGACTTTCAGATTAAATGTGATTAGTTCCATGTCTCTCTACGCAAAGGCTACAGTAAATACTTTATTTGGTATAGGCAACTGGCTCATGTGAATTATAAACGTTGGTGCTTTCTCTGTGCTCCTCCTCAGTAACCTTTTAAAGAGACACCATTGCTCAGGCTGGCCATAAGCCAAAAAGTAAAACTGGCAATATAAAAGACAGATGTGAGGACTATTATTTCAAGTAGCACAGAGGTGCAAAAAAAGCGGTGTCTGGTCCATGCAACCATCAAGAGCAGGCATCCCCAAACTTGGCCCTCCAGCTGTTTTGGGACTACAACTCCCATCATCCCTAGCTAACAGGACCAGTAGTCAGGGATGATGGGAATTGTAGTCCCAAAACAGTGGGTGGGTCACTCCATTCTAGCTAGGACAGTGGTTCTCAAACTTTTTTATCTGGGCCACACTTTCAGAATAATTGCGCAACCCCAATTTTTAAATATATAAGAAATACATTGGAAAACAAAAAGAAACAACTCCTAGCAGGGCCACTGGTTGTGCTAGGTGGGGGCTGATAGGAATTGGGCGTCCAACAGTATCTGCAGGGCCACAGATTCCCCATCCCTTCTTTAGAGAGGTCAAAGCAAATGTTCTGAACTGCTCTAGCTAACAGATCAGTCTGAGATAGCAGCTGGTTGCTGATGTAGCCGTGTGAGATGCATCACACATCCCTCTGCATTTCTGCTCTTAAATGTTTCACCTTAAACGACTTGGCTGTGGGCATTCAGGAGATCAGCGAACCAAATAACCTTCCATAAAAGGGACAACGGCAAGTCATTTCACATATCCAATCCAATAAAACTCATTTCAGTGCCCTGTCTTGTTCCGTGTCATTTCCTGCAGTATTACTAACCTCATAACATCCCCTCCACCACCTTTTGATGCTTCCCCCTCTATTCCTTTGGAGGCCCAATGCATGCATAGCTAATGCCAGAGGCGAAGTGTTTAGTTTTAGAGCGAAACTGACTCTTAAATTGAGCACCATTCCTAGTAAATACAAGTTAGGGCTTCTATGAAATTTGCTGCAGAGGGGGCAGGATTGTCCACAGATGTGTACAGGTGGGAAGTTATGGTTGGTAGCATACTCCCAGGTCATACATGCAGCAAACAGGCATATGCAATCTTCACATGTGATAATGTACATTTTATCCACACACATCCCTCTAGGGCTATTTTACACATTTTAAAACTAAAAATGTATGCAGTACCATCACATCTGAAGTGACTGTATTCATATCAGGGACTGCACTGAGGAGGAATGGTGGGAGCCCCCCCTCCTCCCCAATTCTGAATCTTCCCAGCAGCAGGAAGACAGTATAGATTTGGAACAGTGGTTTGCAGAGGGGCATAGTTCAAAAGGCAAAAGCTGGGAAATACTGGATGGGGAACAGTTAGGAGAAGAAACACTGGAAGAGAGAGGGTTAACAGATTCACAGTCGTTGGACAGCATTCCTCCACCGCCCTCCCCAAAGTCACGAAGAGCTCAGAAAGTCTCAGAACAGAAAGCGCAGCGGGTACAAGCTCAGACAAAGAAGTGATGTAGACTAATAGGGACGGAGGGGGTGTGAGACTTAATTGGGAGCACCGCCATTTCTAAAGGAGATATGTTCTTTGTCTCTCACTGTGATTATTAAAGAATCTAACTAGTAAGATGATCCTTTCATTTGATCTTATTTACTGCTGTGGGGAGGAAGCTGATTCCTGAAGCCTGACAGTTCATCTGTTTCTCCATGCATGTACACTGTACTTTACAAGCATGATGTGTGAAGCAACTCTTAGAGGGACTGATTCTGGAGTAAGGAGAGCAGAGCCAGGATTGGAGGGGGATGACATATTTTACAATTATAAGATTGTGTTCAACTGGAAACATGGACAGCTCTCTTGTGGACATGTCCATTTGGCTATTATGCAGGATGGATCATATAAATGATGGTGCTTGCGTGTGTATCTGTGGAATAACACTCCATGCATCCACTAAAGTAAACTTTCGCCCTTGAACGCTTACGCTCAATAAATCTCTTCAGAGTTTTTTAAGGAATCACAAGCCTCATTGTTAAGTTTACATTAAAAAATTATTTTACAGAAGAAGGGATTGATTCTACTCAAGAGTAAATCCCACTGGAAATAATGGACATGGTCGTCCTTGATAGCTCAGTTGTTTACAGCATGGTGCTGATAATGCCAAGGATGCAGGATTGATCCCTGTACAGTGGTACGTTGGTTCTCAAACTTAATCCATTCTGGAAGTCCGTTCCAAAACCAAGGCGCGCTTTCCCATAGAAAGTTGTGCAAAATGGATTAATCCGTTCCTGACTTTTAATAACAACCCCCAAAACAGCAATTTAACATGAATTTTACTATCTAACGAGACCATTGATCCATAAAATGAAAGCAATAAACAATGTACTGCAGTCACACAATCAGTAGCTGGGTTCCAAACAGTCTCTCTCTCTCACACACACACAAAATGGAGCACATTCGACATCCAAAGAAAGTTCGCAAACTGGAACACTTCCGGGTTTGCAGTGTTTGGGTTCCAAGTTGTTTGAGAACCAAGGTACCACTGTATGGTACAACTGCATATTCTTGCATTTCAAGGGTTTGGACTAGATGATCCACAGGATCCCTTCCAACTCTACAGTTCTATGATTTCCATGAATAATATACCCACTCTGGGTGATTTAGACTGATGTGGTCCAAACACTTAGAGGGGCTGCACCACGTCAAGCATCCATTCGATCACTGCTTCAGGCTTAAAAAGATAGGGAGAGTACCCAATGATATTATGAATTTGTTATGAACAGAATGAAAGAGCCAAGTTTCATTAATCTTGGAAATGCCTTAGTCTTGTTAGCTCAGTCAGCAGTCGGATAGAAGACTAAGGAGGATGAAGATCGTTCACTTATTTCACATCAACCAAACAAACTCATTCTCAAGAGCACAGCAGAATAGTTTTTCACATTTTATATATCTATCTACACCCAGAACAGAGAGAAAAGTGCTTGCTGCATTCTCACTTTTGTGGAAGCAAAAAAACCCAGACAAAATAAAGTCTGGTTTTCATAAAGCAACATCTGTTTGTACCCTCTGACTGCATCAGCACAACCTCAGCAGTGAACATATATACAGTATACAGTATTGAAGGCTACGGTAAGTAGAATCATGGAATTGTAGAGATGGAAGGGAGCACAAGAAACATCTAGCCCCACAAGGGAATCTTTCCCTGCCTTGGGATCGAACCCACAACCCTGAGATTAAGAGTCTCATGCTCTACTGACTGAGCTATGTTCAATGGAATTGGCTTTCTCAAAACAGAGATGTTTCTGAAGTTCCACATGTTTAGGGGCTGCCTGTGGGTTACCCAGAAAGAAATGCACTCTGTGTATGCTCAGGCAGGTTCTTTTTGTTCTTACTCAACTCATATGTTCCGGCGCTCATCACCTGTGTACAGTGTCGGAGCTGAGCTTCACTTCAAACATGTTTGCTTTCATCTAGAAGTAAAAGAAAAATTAAAAAGTGGCAGGCATTCTTTGTCTAGCTAATACTGTGAATCAAATTTAAAATTATAGAGCAATGGAAGATATAAAAATTACTTGCAGTTCCCAAAAACCTAATAAACATGGCACCTGTAACCATTCCAATCAACGTGAACGATTTGATCGCTTCATTTCCTGGCTAATTTTGTTTTATCCATCAGCACTAGGAGAGAGAGAGTTCCTTAATGACGCTAGGAAGGTTTGTACAGATGGCTAATTAGTCTTATTTACAGACTGGCCAAATTACCTCACCGAAGGAATGTGAATCTGATTTTTATAATAGCCCATTTTATGGACCTTTAAAAATATATATTATTTCTTGTATGGATGTTTCTGAAATCTACCTAGCAGTAAATATGTGGCTTCATTTATATTTTCCTATTCCAAAGCCTCTGGTAACTTTTTTTCACATCAGAAATGTCATCCTATGCCATGACAGCAGTAGACAATCTTTCTGGTGTCTCAGATTCTGATTGGCTTATTCTGAACTTCATACAGCTCTCCAAATCGAAGCCTAGCTGGCTGCCGTAGCTCATATGTCTGGTCACACAGACATGGATTTTCCTTGAGAACAAGTGTTTGTGGATTTGGAAACAACTCGCAATCTGTGGGAGACATGATACTAGGACGTGTGGAGAGAGCAAACTGGGGTGTCCCCGTGTAAAAATATTAATCCTCAGATTTCAAGAATTTAGGGCTGACAGGTTATAGGAAAAAACACAAGGAAAGCCATAAAAAGAATAGAGGTAGCAACTTGCTGCAGAAATGCTTCTGCAACTAAGCATTCACTTTTGAACGCAATAGGTAATTGGTGCTTTGAACAGGGAATTAATGATGAGGAATAGCCAGCCAGGTAAGTGTCTTCAGTGGGGAATTTGAGCAATGGCCCTGCAAGAAGTGCATTCAGTAGCCAGCTGGTGCTTTTGGAAACCAAGAGCAAAAACTAAAATCGCCTGTCTGCAAAGATTGCCCCAGACATGCAGTGCTAATATTTGGGAAGGCAAAAATATATGCAGAAAAGAAGTTGGAAGGTTTTGCACATGTGATGTCAGGGAAGCCATTATTATGAACATGGTTTCACATCCTTCAGGTAGCACGCAGGCTTGCCTCTGCAGTTAAATGAGCTTTTGTAAATGGTGTATTTCTGTAAGGAAAAAAAGTAAGGGATGTGGCAGAACAGAGAATGGTTTTAGAAAGAAGGACTATGGCCTTGGAAGTTGAAGCATAGCACAACAGGGAAATATCATGTGTACAGATATATAATGGTGACCTATATTACAGAGGCCCGACTCATATTATTCCTCTTTACATAGTTTCAAAGTACAGTCGTACCTTAGCTCCCAAACGCCTTGGGAGTAGAATGTTTCAGCTCCCAAACGATCGAAAACTGGAAGTGAGTATTCTGGCTTTCGAACGTTCTTTTGGAAGCAGAACGTCTGACAGGGTTCCGTGGCTTCCGATTGGCTGCAGGAGCTTCCTGCAGCCAATCAGAAGCCGCACTTTGGAAGTCGAACGTTTCAGAAGTTGAACGGACTTCCGGAACGGATTCTGTTCGATTTCTGAGGTACAACTGTAGACAGGAAATAAAATAAAATAAATGGATAGGATGAGAAAAGTGGTATATTTTTCAGTGCACCGGAAAAGAAGTGAAATCACCATCCCACTACACTTTGAGCACTCAATCTGGGGTGAATGGTCTGGAGATGGAAGCGATAGCAAGAGAGAAAGCCTGCCAGCTAGAATTTCATGTGAAGGGTTTTAGCGGTAGGTACAAAAAGCAAAGGCAGATTATATACAGCAGTTCTGAAATAAAATAAGTCTTATGTAAGATAGCTATTCTTATAAAAAATGCAAAGGATTTGGCAGTTTTAATAATGCCTTATTAAAGAAAGCATCAGCCTTATATATTCAACTTTATATTTTAGCTACTGTTTCGTGTATCACATCATCTGCATGCCTTGAAGACAATGGGGAAAAAACAGGCAAATGAGTTATTAAAAGTATAGCCGCTTTTGTGGTGGATTGTACGTACATTTCAATCTTAAAGGCAGAAAATGAGATATGCTATTTTTTATTTGTTCATTAGGGGTGACATATTAGAAAGGCATAACTAGGATTCCTTATTCATTAAAATAAATTGTGTTCTGGGAAAGGTTTCTCCGGCTGTTAGTGAGCCTTGAGCATATTTCGAAAATTACATGTAATTTGAGATGGCAGTCTTTTGTTTACTTTTTCTTTAGTGAAATCCTTCAAGGCAGACGAGTCGCTTTATTAGATTCATCCAAAGGGAATATGATTTCCATAAACTAATTCCACATGTTAAAATGGAAGTACATTTATGGAAACATAATAAAACTGATATCTATGACCAAACTGACTGTACTGTCTTAGGACACTGTCTCCCTGAGATCACAAGCATAGATGTACACTTTACCAGGTGAGTGGGTTGCAGAGGTACACTTCTGTTCGTGTGTCAGAAAGGTGGACCACTATGTAGTAATTTCCAAATAAATTGAAGGCATTAACAGGACAGGCAAACAGAAAGCCTAGTAAACGAGAATGGTGCTAAATAACAAAATTGGTCAAAAGCAGCAGCATCTCGTCTTCCTCTACCCAGCAGTACAAAATGCATTGATCACACAAGATGTCACTGCTCTCACAGCTTAAGCGACCACATTCTCCACTTGGAGTGGTACTTTGGAGCAGGATGACGACACCTGAGTGTTTTCATTCAGGAAAGTACAGTGGTACCTCTGGTTACGTACTTAATTCATTCCGGAGGTCCGTTCTTAACCTGAAACTGTTCTTAACCTGAGGTACCACTTTAGCTAATGGGGCCTCCTGCTGCTGCCACGCCGCCGGAGCACGATTTCTGTTCTCATCTGGAAGCAAAGTTCTTAACCCAAGGTACTATTTCTGGGTTAGTGGAATCTGTAACCTGAAGCGTATGTAACCTGACGCGTATGTAACCTGAGGTACCACTGTACAGACATACAACATAATGCAACTTTAAAATACCCACATTTTTGTATTGAAGGATGGTCCCAGGGAGAGTAATGTACTCTTGTTAAAGGTAAAGGTAAAGGGACCCCTGACCGTTAAGTCCAGTCATGGACGACTCTGGAGTTGCAGTGCTCATCTCGCTTTACAGGCCGAGGGAGCTGGTGTTTGTCCGCAGACAGCTTCTGGCGTATGTGGCCAGCATGACTAAGCTGCTTCTGGCGAACCAGAGCAGCGCACAGAAACGCCGTTTACCTTCCCACCGGAGTGGTACCTATTTATCTACTTGCACTTTGACATGCTTTCAAACTGCTAGGTTGGCAGGAGCAGGGACCGAGCAACGGGAGCTCACCCCGTTGTGGGGATTCGAACTACCGACCTTCTGATTGGCAAAGCCCTAGGCTCTGTGGTTTAGACCACAGCGCCACCTGCGTCCCATGTACTCTTTGTATGTCAGTACAAAGATCATTTATACAAGAGTCTGAAAATGGTGGCAGATACAAGAAATCACCATAAAATTCTCTATATTGCATATTTTGTGGCTGTTTTCTTTGCCAACCAATCCCATTTGCAGTAAGATAATGCTTACACCATCAAATGATTCTTCGCAAACAAATTCCCCCCAAGTACTTGCTCCTTTCAGTGTATATTTCCAGAACTAGAGGTGTTGTTTTTCTGGCTCTGTGATGAAATCCATCTGATGCAAGGCTCCAGTGAAATAATGATAATCAGGTCTATTTACTCCCATTCTGCTCAAAGCAAACAGTTCTCTTTTTAAAGGGAAGTGTTAGATTCCCTTTGGCAGAGGCAGGTGAAATGTGCGAACTGCCGACGTATTTAGCATTTCTTTCAAGTCTGGGAAGCTGGAAATAAGCTTCTATGGAAATCAGGCTAGACGACTGGTATAAAACACATTTCCCTCCCAGACAATGCTGCTAATTCTGATGCTATCCGTTTTTTGTTTTTTGTTCGTTCGTTAGTTAAAAGGCCAAAAGGCTAAAAATTACATGTACAGAATACAACACTGTGTATATCGCTTGTTTATGGTTCCATTCAGCACTGCACACCACTGTAAAGTGCAATGAAAATGCGAGCATCTTCGCAGACAACATTGCAATTCTGAGGTAAAAGGGTTCTGCTTTAAAGGTCATTTCTTGTTTCTTTTATTCAAGTTCTGTGATTCTATGATAGCTTCATGCATGAATACCAGCACTGGCGCACTGATAGATAGTGCACTGGCTTCCCAGAACTAGCTGGAGGTGGGGAAATCTGCCCCACCCCATAACTATGTGGTTATCCCAAGGGTCCCTGGCCAATTGCCCCAGAGACCATTGGCTTAAATGAGGCTTACTTTTGAGTAAAGTGTGCACTGGGGCACAACCTCCAAGTTAGTTGTTTAGTCGTGTCCGACTCTTCGTGACCCCATGGACCAGAGCACACCAGGCACTCCTGTCTTCCACTGCCTCCCGCAGTTTGGTCAAACTCATGCTGGTAGCTTTGAGAACACTATCCAACCATCTCGTCCTCTGTCATCCCCTTCTCCTTGTGCCCTCCATCTTTCCCAACATCAGGGTCTTTTCCAGGGAGTCTTCTCTTCTCATGAGGTGGCCAAAGTATTGGAGTATCAGCTTCAGGATCTGTCCTTCCAGTGAGCACTCTGAGCTGATTTCCTTCAGAATGGATAGGTTTGATCTTCTTGCAGTCCATGGGACTCACAAGAGTCTCCTCCAGTGTCATAATTCAAAAGCATCAATTCTTTG